GAGTGGATATGAATTAATATAATGGGCCATAGCAAGCCAAGCATACAGTTTCATCCAGTTTCCTACAGTTCTTTACATTCGGTTTCATCAACTATACCATTATGGCGCTATACAGTTTATAATTGACCCTACAATTGCATAATCATACAGTATAATGAGCAGGCAAAGTATGATAATGACAAAGTATCATGATATGTGTTGCTTACATTCCATATGTGAGTACAATGTTTTATTTCTACATATGTATGTCTTATATGTTCTTTTATTCCGTTGCGATATTCACTGAGTTTTAAATCAAAAGTTGGCAGAATCAATAACAGCATAAAGAACATGCAGGTAAGAATCATGAAAGTATAATGTTAATAAATATGCTTAACAAGTTTATTTATTTAATTCTTCAGGAGCCATACAGTCATGAGATGTGTTATTATTATCATAAACTTATATGATGTGATCTACAAAAGTGCATAAGTTCATACAGCATAATGAATAGCAAGTAGACAATGAAAATATACTGTTATGTATTTCTTACATGTTTTATTGATTCATTCGATTACAACATAATGACAGCAGGTAAGATCAATGATAGTATCAATGATATGTGTGATTAAAAAGTTCATGGTAAAGGAGTTATGAGATAAATTTGAAACTAAATTAATTTAGATAGTTAATGCATTAGAAGTTTAATTCTTTGCTAATAAAGATTACATTGAATTGTTGAAATTTACCGGAATTATGATTTTCAATGCTTTTTTAATTGCATCTTGTATTTTAAAGTTAGTTGCCATCCACACTTGTTAAAGTTGTGAATTATGAGTACCACTGAAGTTTTATACTCAGCGCGTCGATTTTTAATCCCGCGTAGTTGAAGATCGTGGTTGCTATCTGAAGACTTGAAGAGTACTTATCAAAGCAGGAAGTGTACTAATTTCGGGAGTTAGTTAGATTGAGAGTGTGTAATAATTAAAGAATTATGGCATGTAATTAAGATTTATGGCATGTAATAATTATTACTCGTTTGTTAAGCTTATGTAATTGGAGAATATAGTGAAAAGCTTAATTATTTTCGGTTGTAAGTAGTTGGAGAATAAGAATAATACTTATAAATGATCGAATATGAACATATTTTACAATAGTTGGTGTGATTGTTTCATGAAGCCCTTGATATTGATCATGAATGCACTTAAATTGCTGGATATAAAAATGCTATTGAGGATTTATACATCTGAAAAAGATATAATAAAGTGTCTATTGTGGTTCTGATGATTAGTTGGAGAATATTGGAAGTCTGAAGTTTAATTGGGAGTGTTTTTGTATTCATATTTAGCAAACCAGAATGATATCCGCATGACCAGGATGAGGTTCAATCAGATTGTAGAGCGTCTCGGCTCGGTTCATTCGGGTGATATCCGCATGACAGGACATAGGTTCAATCAGATTGTAGCGTCTCGGCTCGGTTCATTCGGGTTAACGGGTGGACCGAGAAGGGATGTTACATTTGCCATCTTCAAGATGTCAATTTATCTGGGTTCAAATTCATCATAATGAGGAGCTGATAAGAGAGACTTGATCGAGGTGTTGCAAATAATAAATGGCTATTGTGTTTCCTAGATAGTTGTGTTACTACTCTTGTAGCACCAACTAGTGGCCATAAGCTGATTTTACTAGATTTGAAGCCAATGCCTAACATGCATCAAACATGTATTTTTCAGCCTGATAATTCATGGTTGGTTGACTCTGAATTTACATAATTATTGCATGGTTTTTGGATTGAATCTCACCATGCAAATTTATCAAAACGGAGGGATATGTGTATTTCAAAGCTTCAGGAGTATGGAAAATCTAAAAACCGAGCATTTAGAACCTGCAAGCAATATTTGAGTCGAATATTAGAACCCGATGATGGCAATCTCTCTTTTTCCAAGTACCAGCAGCTTCGTAAAGAATGGTGTTCTATCTTAGTGCAAGAGGATATTCAATATCATCAACAAGCTAAGTCTTTCTGGTTGAGGTATAGGGATAAAAATTCCAAATTCTTTCATGCCGCTATAAAAAAAAGGTGTCAAAATAATATTATTCATGCTTTGAAAAATAATGATGATGAGTGGGTTCGAACTAAGGAGGATATCCAAAATTTTGTTTTTTCATATTTTAAATGTATTTTTTCGGGTACTGCAGTATCTCTAGATAGTCTTTTACCATTTGTTACTAGAAAAGTCACAGATGAGGATATCAGAATTTTAGAAGCATCATTTTCGCATGATGAATTTAGGATAACAATTTTTTAGATGCACCTTGATAAAAGTCCAGGTCCTGATGGACTTAATCCTACATTTTTTCAAAAATTTTAGAATATTATAGGTATTGATGTTGTGTGTGGTTGTATTTCATGGTTGGATTCGGGTGTTTTCCCTAATTCATTAATTGAGAGTTTGGTAGTTTTGATTCCTAAGAATTCTAATCCGGTTAATATGACGGATATTCGTCCTATTTCGTTATGTAATGTCTACTATAAAATTGTTTCTAAGGTGTTAGCAAACATACTTAAGATTATTTTGTTTAAAGTTGTATCTAATAGTTAGTCTGTTTTGTCCCGGGTAGACTAATAACAAAAAATGTTCTTATAGCATTTGAGACTATCCATGCTATAAAATGTAAGACTAGAGGGCTTTCTAGGGAAGTTGTTTTAAAAGTTTGATATTAGTAAGGCTTATGATAGAGTAGACTGGGATTTCCTTCGTCATATGCTTGTTGGTTATGATTTTTCAGATAAGTGGGTACATTGGATGATGATGTGTGTTACTGGAATAAAATATTCTTTTTTATGCAATGGTGATATTATTGGTCCAATTATTCTAGAAAGGGGAATTAGACAAGGTGAGCCTCTATCTCCCCATTTATTTATTTTGTGTGTAGAGGGTTATCTTTATCATTTAAAGATGCTGAGAGACGTGGTTTAATTCACGGTAGCAAGGTATGTACTCCATGTCCTCGTGCATCTCATGTCTTTTTTACAGATGATTTCTTATTTTTCTTTAAAGCTTCTGATTCTGAGAGTTTAAGGATTAGGGGTATCCTTAAAGTTTATGAGGAAGCTCTGATCCAGGAGTTAATTTTCAAAAATTAGGACATCTTTACTTCTTTTTGAAAGATAGAAACATTAAGACTACTCCTAACAAGCATATGAGGAAGGAAATCACAATTTATTAGTCCTAATGTTTCTCTAGAAGTTCGAGGTAGGATCTATTCCGTTTTAAATGTTTTTCAGACTTTAGGTGGTGGTACATATTTAGTTCTTCCTTCCATGATAGGTAGGAGTAAAAAATAAATTTTTACTTTTTTAAAAGATAGATTATGGAAGCGTATTAATAATTGGAATAATAGACTGCTATCCAGGGCAGATCGTGAGATCCTTATTAAATCTGTGGCTCAGACTATTCCTTCATATGCTATGAGTGTATTTCTCTTGCCATTGTCTATTTGTGATGATATGCAAAAGTCTGTGAAATGCTTTTTGGTGGGGTTCGAAGAGAAATGCAAACCGTAGTATTCATAGGTTTGCATGGGATCGGATGTGTTCTAGTAAAAGGGATGGTGGTATGAGATTTTAAAATCTCCATTGTTTTAATTTGTCTATGTTAGCTAAGCAGGGGTGGCGTCTAATTACTACTCCTAACACTCTTCTTTCTAAAATTTACAAAGCCAAATATTACCCTTTTGGGGACTTTTTTCCCGCTACTTCGGGTCACAACCCTAGCTTGACTTGGAGGAGTGTTCTTAGTACTACAGATTATTTAAAACAGGGGGTTCGATAAAGGGTGGGTATCGGAGATAAGATTTTTTGTAAAGAAGGATACATGAATACCCAATAATGATTCTTTTATGGTGAATGATGAGTATGACTTTCTTCATGATGATTTGAGAGTTTGTGATTTTCTTATTCTAAATAGGAAAGAATGAGATGTAGGAAAGATTATTGAATTTTTTTCTGTTAGGGATACATGGTCTATTTAGAATATTCCTTTGAGTTTGTATGATGTTAAATATACTCTTATTTGGGGGCTTGACAAAAAGGGTATATGTAGCGTTAAAGCGTGTTATTATTTGTGCCATAGAATTTCAAGAAATATTGTTGATTTTGATTTGAATCCTATTTGGCACATACTCTGGAATGCAAATGTTCCCCCTAAGGCCAAAGGGTTTATGTGGAGAGTTTTAAAAGGAGCGTTGCCTACTAAGGATAATCTTTTTAGAAAGGGAGTTGATGTTGATATGATTTGTTGTTCTTGTTATAATATTAAGGATTTAGATCATATTTTTTTTATGGTGTTATAAGGCACGGGATGTTTGGAGAAATTATGGTTTTAATATCTCTACTCCCCTTTCTTGCTTTAAAGAATTTTTAATACAAGTGGTTAACACTTCTTCAAAAGAGAAGATTGCTAGATTCATTATTGTGACTTTGAAATTATGGCATGCAAGAAATTAGTTTGTTTGGCATCAACGGCTTCTTTCCTCCAATGATATTTTTCACTCTATTGATATATGTTTGCAGGATTGGTATGTTGCCAATGTTTGTGTTAATCAATCATATATGTCTCTTGCGGATAATTTCCAACATTTAGCTTTACATGGTGAGGTGTTTTCATCATCTCGTTTGCATGGGGCTATCCTCTAGAGTAGTTCATGGTCATCATGCTTCATCAAAAATTGCAACAGATACGGCTTTATGGTTTTATTGTTTGGTTTTATTTTTGAATGCCAAGAGGGTAATTTTATTAGAGCATTATCATGATGCTTCTCTCTTTATGGTGACTCCACTTTGATAGAGGCAGCAGCTTTGAGAAGTACTTTGGCTTGGGTTGTTGCTCACATGACAGGCTCGCGTTCTATTTTTTTTGTGACTCATGAACAGTTGTTTATGTTGTGTACTCATCTGGGAAGGATTATTCTAAGTCGGGTATTATTTTTTTTTGACATTTGAATTATGATTCATATTATTAATGAAAGAAATGAGCGATACAATTGGGAGCATCATCCCAAATTTGAAAGCAAGCCTCACTAGGAACTGATTTAGCCAACACATGAGCTATATCATTTGCTTGTCTTCTAATCCAAGCCAAGGAGACACTAGGCAATTGGACTAATAGTAGTTTACATTCAGAAATGACAACGCCAAACTCAGACCAGTCGTTTGCAGAACTTTTCATAGCATGATAAACTTGCAGACAGTCAGTCTCAACCTGAATCGTCAGATTAGGATGACCGGAAAGCACCCATGATAATACTTTTCTTAGTGCCTGAGCTTCTGCTACTGCTGGAGAAGAACAGCCTTGTAGTGATGACGTTGCTGCTGAAACGAACCCGCCATGGCAGTTTGAGATTACAGCACCAACAGCTCCATGGCCGACAGAGGGGAGAAGAGCGGCATCAAAGTTTATTTTAAAAGTTTTGGTTTTATTTTGCTGCCAAGAAGGTAATTTTATTAGAGCATTATCCATGATGCTTCTCTCTTTATGGTGACTTCCACTTTGATAGAGGCAGCACGCTTTGAGAAGTCACTTTGGCTTTGGGTTGTTGCTCAATGACAGGCTCCGCGTTTCTATTTTTATTTTTGTTGAACTCATGAACAGTTGTTTATGTTGTGTACTCATCTGGGAGGATATTCTAAAGTCGGGTTTATTTTTTTAATTTTTTTTTTTTTTTTTTTTTGACATTTGAATGATGGTTCATATTTTTAATCAAAAAAATGAGCAATACAAGTGGGAATACTATCCCAAGTTTGAAAACAAGCCTCACTAGGAACCGATTTAGCTAACACATGAGCTATATCATTTGCTTGTCTTCTAATTCAAGCCAAAGTGACATTAAGCAATTGGACTAAGAGTAGCTTACATTCAAAGATGACAACTCCAAACTCAGTCTTGGACAGAATTTCTCATAGCACAGTAAACCTGCAGACAATCGGTCTCAATTTGAATCTTCAGGCTGGAGTAGCTCGATATCAACCAAGACAACACCTTTCTTAGCGCCTGAGCTTCTGCTACTGCTGGAGAAGAACAACCTTGCAATGAAGACGTTGCTGCTGATACAAACCCCCTGTTGCAATTTGAAATGACAGCGCCGACAGTTCCATGGCCAACAGAGGGAAAAAGGGTAGCATCAAAATTGATTTTAAAAGTACCAACAGGTGGTGGGAACCATTGACTACCTGCAGGAGCATCGGTACCTGTACCTGAACCTGACAGCTTCAGCTAGGCTTTCTTCCAAGATGCGAGCATACTTCTGACTCGAGTAACCACAGGATAAGGTCCTTCTTCCACTTGATTCCATTTCAGCTCATTACGGCTTGACCAAACACTCCATAGTCCCATACACATAATAAAACTCTCTAAAAATTCGCTCTCCCATACCTTGTGTAAATATTCGAACATCTGTAAGAAATTTGAAAATTTTCCAATATGAAGTTCAACAGCAAAAAACTGCCAACAAAATCTTGCTTTTGGACACTCAACAAGGGCATGAGCTAACGTTTCAGCAGCACCACAGTAGTCGCATCCTGTGTCAATTTCCATTCCCCTTCTTTCCGAACTTGTTTTAACTGGCGGAATTATTATTAATGATTGTAAAACTTTTCTTTATAGTTGTAACGACATTTTTGTTTGTTGGGTTGGTCCACAAGCTAATGTAAGGGCTCATACTTTGCTAGAGCCTCTTACCAAATATGGTAGTCATAAAGTTTGAAATTCTATCCCTGCTTGTTTGTACTCTTTTTATTTGTCTTCTTAATGAAGTTCATTCTTAAGTTTTTTAAAAAAAAAGTTGTGTTATTTGAAATATTAATTTATGTTTTGATTTTAAAAAAATTAATATTAATAAATATTTTTAGTGGCAAAAGTAGAACATAAACAAAAAGAAAGAAAAAGGAGATGATAAATATGGGTAAAGGTAATTTATCTATATATTAAAAATTATTAGCAAAAAGTCTGTAATTCGAATGGAAGAAGTAGTTAGTTGAAAAGATAAAAAATTACACATATTTTTTAAAATATTAAAATTAAATAGTTAATTTCCTTAAATCATATGAATTAAATAGTGATTTCTATTTTTTGTTATATCTTAAAAAACGCATCTTAAAAATCATATGAATTAAATAATTTAAAAATAATATTCCTTCATATTTTGTTCCCTTCTAATAAGTTTTATTTTTATAATGGACTTTCAAAGTCAAAAGATAGTGCGATGAGAATTATACTTAGAGTGGATGTTCATAAATTTCGTAACCATTAAGGAATTAAATTCTATAACTCCTCTATGTTAAATTTGCATAATTTATTACCATTAAATTCCTACCATTTTCAATTTTTTGTAACCCATTTTAAAAATATAAGAAATTGTGAGAACTTTGTAAGTTAGAAGAAGTATAACATTCTCTATTTTTCATTACCCTTGTATTTTCATTAGCTATTAATTCTAAGGGTCAAACTCTAGCTATGGAGGAACGCTGAGAGAATCCAAGAAGCCTAATTTATATTTCATACATTAATATTTCATTAAAAAAAATAACTCTAACTAATTTATATTTCTAGAATACTAATTTTCATGAGAAATATATTTTCATAATATTCATATTTAACGTTACCTTCCAATAACCTCAAAATAAACAACACAAGATTATCTAAATATATCTACCTCTTTTTTCTAAATATAAAAAATATAATCACCTTATTGTATCTTAATTTACTAAACTTTTCCTCACCCCATCCAAACAATTCCCAATTCATTTCTTATTGTTGATATTTATGTTAATTAGTATGAAGTGGGGTTCTGTCCCTTCGGATTTTATTTCTAATGCTGTTCAATGTTGATTTTTGTTAATGAAATTTGCATTTTTACTCTTCGAAAAAAAAATATATAGATATATTTTTTTTTTGACATTAAAAAATATATAGATATGATATTCTTAGTAGGTAAATTACAATGACAGATGTCTAATTCATCAGATATAATATGGTCCAGATCACTTCATCTATTAATTATTGATAAGAAGAAGAACATCAGAAAAGAAAGTGATGATTAAGAAGAAATATCAGACAATGACATATTCCACATCATTTTTAAATTTTTCATAAAGAGAACGACCATTCAACTTGTGAATTAAATGATGTTAGGTGTTATATTTGAAATCCCAAATGAGAATTTAAGATTTAAAGGTTCCGTTGGACAAAATTAACTGTTTTAGTGGCCGATAGTTGTTTCAGTAACATTAGTTATTTGACTGGATTTTTATAAAACGCTAAAAGCTAAGAGTTACAGGGATTAACTTTTTATAAAACGTTATATTAACCTCTAAAAATTAGTTCAAACATTATATTACTGAATATTATAAGAAATAGCTTTTAGCGTGTTGATTAATCAAAACGCTAAAAGTTACTTAAAAAGTTCTTGCCAAACATAACTGAAACCGTCACTATTGAGAAAATTTTATCTAAATATCACAGAAAATGGTCGTGGAGACATGTACACCGATAAAAAAGAAATGCAAATGGGATTGGAAAGAAATGCAAATGGGAGGTTTTCCAATCCTATGTATAGTTCTATTGTTTAAATTTTTCTTTTCCGTGATTTTTTGAATATTTGTAGTTATTTGGATATAATTTTACTTATAATATAACAAATTTCACAGTGTTTTGATTTTTTTTATACTTAGAATGATCTTAAGTAATTTTTTAATTTCGCTATTAGTAATTTTAGTTATGTTACTAACTTTTTTTTTTTAGGTTTTTAAGTGTATTTTCTATTTTCTATATTATTTTAAGTTATTATGCAAGAATATCAATAATATTTTAATTTTAATATTTTTCAGTGTTTTAATGGATAGTAAGGTTTAATAAATTATTTTTTACAGTTTGTAGGTGCATTTTCTATTTTTCTGATATTATTTTTTTATTATGCAAGAATTTTAATAATATATAATATTTTAATATTTTTTGAAGTTTTTATGGATGGTAAACTTTAATAATAAAAGAACTCTTAATAAATTGTTTTTATTTAATTATACTAACATTCTATCTTCCACTTTTATTTTTTTGTATTATACTTTAATTAATGTTATGACTTAGATTTTGTAATAACAAATAAAACTTTAAGTTAGATTTGATATTAATATTAAATTTTATTTTTACTTTTCTCATTTATGTTATGTACTATATATAGGGGTGGCCATTTCACGGTTTTCAGAACCGTAACTGATCCGAATCGAAATTGGAATCGAAGATCTGTGATTCGGTTCTAACTTTTGAGGAACTGTAAACAGTCGATTTCAAGAATCGGCTGGAACCGATGATTTTTCTAATCGATTAGAACCGATGGTTCCACCTAGTTCTAAGAACTTTTTTTTTTTTTCAAATATTTTTGTAAAATTTCCAAATTAACCCTCCTAACAACTATGTAATGGCTAGTCTTAATGGTATTTGTGGAAAGTTGATTTTTTGGATTTACTATAAATACCCCTTTTCATTTAAAATAAATAAATTAAGTTCAATGACAACAGGGACTCAGTCCTTCATATTTACGTAGGCATTTTTGAGTTTATGTGAGGAGTGCTTGGACTCTAGGGACCTTGAGTTATTTTTTCATCTTATTTTTATTCGTAAAAGCCGAGGAAAAAACTTAGCTTTGCAAGACCCTTTTTGTTCTACTCCCGAGCCTCCTAGCTCTTTCTATGTACACCCTATTCCTATGGGTTTTGTAAGGCTAAGTGAAAAAAAAAAATGGCTTTTATCTAATGCCTCTACATGTGTTTACAAGAAACAATGCTTTAAATTATTTGAATTCCAAGTCTGAGGAAGTTCTGGTCCGTTGAGGGGTTTGATTTTGAATGTCCTTGGTCCCCACTTTTGTGTGTTTTTAAAAAGGCCTTCCCAATTTGGGCTCAACTTACCCACCCCTGCTGCTCCTATTTTTATTTCCTTCTTCTTCCACACTCGATCTTCTATTTCGAATGTTCTTTTTCTGACTCTCCTGTAGTGGTATTTCATCATTTGCTGCTGCCAAGTGGCTGCTTTGATAAATGCCTCGTTTCTCTTTTCTTTGGCTAGGTCTAAATTGATTCTTAAGGATTCAAAGTTGTGATCTTCGTTGTAAAACTGCACTTCTCTCGACATCCCAATTTCCACCGGTACAACCGCTTCTACACCGTATACTAAACATAATGGTGTCTTGCCTGTAGAGTTTCTAGTGGTGGTCCTATAAGACCATAGTACACTATTCAACTCCTTGGTCCAACTGATTCCTGCCTCTTCTAGCCTCTTTTTGATACCTTGCAAAATAATTTTGTTCGTGAATTCAGTCAAACTGTTGGTTTATGGGTGTGCTACTGAATTGAATGTAAACTAATATTCCAATTGAAGAAGAATTCTTTAAAGGCTGAGGAGTCAAATTGTTTGCCATTGTCTATTACAAGCTTGCTTGGGATTCCATATCGGAATATAACTTCATTCTTGAAAAATTTTATAATACGACTGAGGGTTATTGTTGCTAGGGCTTCTCTTCTACCCACTTTGAGAAGTGATCCACTGCCACTACTATGAATTTTCTTTGCCTTGTAGCAATTAGAAAAGGTCCCAAAATGTCTATCCCCTATTGGGCAAAGGGCCAGGAGCATCCAACGGGTTGCATGTATGCAACTGGTTTCCTCGGCACTCTGCTATGCTTTTGGCATGGTATGCACTTTTGTATGTGATGTCGCACTTCTTTCTTTATGGTAGGCCAATAATAACCAAGCAAAAGTATTTTCCTTTGGGCGACATCTACTCTTTCATGTGCTCTGCAAAGCCCTTCGTGGACTTCCCGAGTGACATACTTTGTTTCCTCTTCGCTTAGGCATCTTGCCTAGCGGTGTGATCTGGACCTTCTATGTAGTACTACTCACTCTAAAGCGTAGTTTATTGCTTGCCTACTGATCTTTAATGCTTCATTTCTTTCAGGTGGTAGTTCACCTGTTTCTAATGTCTTATTATAGGGGTCATCTAGTTTGATTTGGCAAAAAAAGGGAATGTTTCTTCACCGTCTATGCTCAGGCATGATTGTCTCTCAATCAAGACACTTGCTGGCACTTCTTTATTTTTGGCTATGGTTTTGGCGATCGTGTTTGCTGCATGGTTTTCTGATTAAAGGATCTGTCTAATTTCCTAGCTAGTTCCTTCCTTCTCTAACTGACTTAGCAAGTGTCTCGCAAGAGTCTGATATTTGCTCATAGAGGGTTCTTTTGTCGCAAATTTTCCAGACACTTGGTTCACCACTAGCTGTAAATTAGAGAATATTATGACTTCTTCTGCTCGGACCTCCATAGCTATTTTTAGGCCAGTTATCAATGATTCATATTTGGCTATGTTATTAGTTCATGGGAAGGTCAACTGCACGACATAACTAAGGCGTACTTTGTTTGGTCCTTCTAGGATGATCCCTGCTCCTGCACCCATCGATCCACGGGCTCCATCTATATGCATTTTCCATCAGGTTAAGAAATCACTTGTTATGTTTAGTATCTCAGGCACAGTCATCTCTGCCACAA